AATGGTCAGGTACAAAGTGTGCACCTGCTATATCACTATTTGGAAAGGAAGACTTTAAGTTCAAGGGAAGCCTGGGCTAAACTATAAGATCCTGACAGAAGCTCAGTAAGGAAAGGGACAGAGAAACAGTAAAGAAAAGTCACTAAGTAACTGTGATTTTCAATTCTGATTTTCAAAACTCTACAGAATCTAGATTTATCTAGGAGCCAAACCTCTATGCCAGTGGTTCTCAACCTCCCTAATGCTGTGACCCTTTAATACAGTTGCCATGTGGTGGTGATCACCAACTTGAAGTTATTTTTGTTGCTAATTTATAACTGTAATTGTGCTACTGTTACGAATTATAGTATAAATATATGATATGCAGGATATCTGCCTTGTGAACCCCCAAAGGGGTCACAACCCACAGGTTGAGAACCACTGTGCCAGGAGCATCTGTAATGGCATCTCTCGAGTGAGTTAACTGAGGTGGAAAGATGCATCCTAAACGTGAGTGGCGACATCCCACTGGCTTGGGTCCTGGACTGAATGAAAAGGAGAACACAGCTATGCATCTGCATCCATTTCTCTGCTTCCTGTCTGGATACAACGTGACTGCAACTTCATGCTTCTTAAGCCACGCCTTCCTCACCACGATGGACTGTGTCCTCAAATTGTGAGCCAAAATAAAACTTTCCCTCACTTAAACTATGCTTGCCGGTAGCCACAGTGACAAATCTAGTGAATCTTAAGAGTGGGGACAAAGGGTGTGTGGTCTCAGAACGAGCGTTAGCCTGGATGGGATCAGAGCCATCAATCAGCCAGTTGTGGGTTTCTGCCTCGGAGAGAGGATCTTTTATTCAAGGATGTTTTTTCAGAAATGTACCTGAGAGAAAAACTGGGGAAACTAGCTTATTGTCTTATTGATGCCTTTCTAGGCTCCAGGGAGCTGAGTCTGTGCCACGAGCAAACCTACCCCCGCTGATGTATAGAATGCATAGGGCTTCCTGGTGGTTAACACGCCTATCGGACACTCCTGCTCCATTGCATTTCCAACCAGATGCCATTTCTCAGAAAGTGCAACAGATCAGTTCCTCTCTATCAAAACAAGTCAGGGGAGTTTTGAGGAATTGGAACTCATTCATATTAGATCATGAATGGCTGTTTAATTTGAACATAGGGAATAGAACTAATTGGCACCCACCCACTGGTGTGTACTACAGAAATTCTACCTGCTTTATAGCTTGTTCTTGGAACAGAGAGACTTTTAGGAGTGCCATAATCTAAGTTGTTGCTTGAGCTCTGAATAACCACTGGGTAAGGAGACCCAGTGAACAATAAAACAGCACAGGGAAGAATTTTCAATAAATTAATAAATGGGGGGTGGGAATTTGGGAAGGCTGAACCCACCCTTGTGTGTACTGCCCCCTGTATAGGATTTTGATAAACTACAGAAGGCAATACACATTTTCTACACTGGTGAAAAAAATTTTTAAACTGAAAGGCATTCTGGTAGAACATAATTAAACCTATTATGAAACAGGTACCATTTAATAGTTGTAATGCACCGTAACGATTACCACATTGTGGGATTCAATACTGCATTTTGTCCTTCCAATTTTATGCTTACTGTTTTAAAAGATGAGGTGTCACTGCATTGCTCAGGCAGGCCCCTAACTTTTGGATATACACTATTCTCCTTTCTCAGCCTCAGAAGTACCTGGGCCTACAAGGCCTGGTCTGCTATAACCAACTACAGCCATTAAATCGGGGAGGATGCTGGAGTTTCTATACTTAGATAGAACCATGTGATAGGAGAGGGTGCTAGAGCACAGACATTTATTTAAGTGCCTTAGGGTTACACAGCAGGTAGGTGGCAGCCCCAAGATTTAAACTGAGGCAGTCTAGCTTAAAGAAATCCATGTTAGCTGCAGTGACATACAAGGGCACTCCAAGCAAGGAAAGACTTACTTAGTGAAGGGCCAGCCTATTGATGATTTTTTTGGAGGTGTGAAGAAGATTAAGGATCAAAGTATAAATAACTCTTTGAAAAGTCTTCACTCTCACGTAGTATTTTAACTTCCCTGAAAGAGTCAAACAGGCACAGGCTTGGGAAAACCATTTTATCTAAGCAACACTTACATAATGTACTCTATGTGGCAGCCACTGAGTGGTCTTAGCAATTTGCCAGACAACTTTAACCCCGTGAGGTTAAGCCTACCATTGTCCCCATTTTCCCAGAAAATGTACCTAGAATCTTTACTGGCTGAACCATTGAGCAATCAATGAAGTACTCTGAGTTTCCATTTTTCATTTGTAAAACTGGGATACTAATACTTCATACAGATATATGTTTTAGCTATGGACTAAATATTTTGTGTCTAACATGTTAAATACTTGTAGAAAAACACTTATTAATAGCAAGACTGGCACTTCTGTTGCCAGTAGCAATAAGAAACAAAACATATACAAGAAAATTTAACTTAAAGATATATTTTCACTAAAGATTATGTATTATAACATATCAAATAGTAATATGTGTAACATATATTGATATATTTATAGTAAGCATCATAATATTTAAAATATATATATTGTCTAACTCAGAACTAAAATGAGTTCACCTCATTCATTCCTTAAATACTTAAGTTCTAGAATGGAAAAACCCTGACACAAAGATAGGACCACAATTTTAAGAGCAACATGTTCCATGTATTACATCTGGAAAATACAATTAGGACGAGTTGACTCTACATTTAACTGCCCTTTGTGGTCCCAGTCATAGAATTTTCACAATTCACAGCAAATTCCTCACTGAGAATCTGCAAATAGTGACTCTTATCAGCTATGTCAGTGTTGGAGGGATCTTGAGAGATCTCCAAATCATTTTAACTCTGAAAATATTTCTCTCTCACACATTTTAACCTCTCCAAAAGAGTCACATAAGAACAGACTTGTGAAGTCCACAGTATCTAATTTTTGTAGCTGCTAGTATCCTTAACCCAAGTTGCCCTTGCTTGTAAACATTTCTAAGCATGGAAAACCCACCTAATGTCTGTTACTTCTCCGCTTGATTTTAAAATTAATTTTCTAGTTGGCACATGAAGTTTGTAAAACAATGTGGGGTTCTCTGTGATGCTTCTCGAAACATGTTCACTTGTGTGATGTTGAATTGCATGCTTGTTTTTTTTCCATTCATTTTTCCATGAGTTGTATAGCTGCTGCATGAGCTTTGTATCAGTTTGGGTGGAGGTCTTCAATGATGCATTGTTGCACATATGCACCTGTGTGATACTGAACAGTTTGATGAGTTGTGAACCTATGTACAGGAGCTAAGTTCTTAGGAAAGTGTTTTAGTTTTTGACAGAAAGTATGATGACATATGAAGAGATATCCTTAGACACAAAGTCTTTGCTAAAGAAATTGACCCTTGGTGTGTTTTTTAAATAATTAAAATGTGGACTTACAAGGAGCTGTGCCTCTTGAGATCGATATTTACTTAAGGATGGTACAATATTGGCATACTAGTCCCCTACCCCTCCCTCTGTCCTCACTGATATCCTAGTAAAGTTCTTCCAAACTTCTCATGTGATCACTCACTAGATCCATACTGCCTAAGATAGTAGCCACCAGGTGCATGTGGCCTACATCAAGATCATAAAATCAAAATCAAAATCAATCAATCAATCAAAATGCTCTTATAACTCCAGACACAGGGGATCTGATGCCCTCTTTGGGCCTCCTCAGGCATTTCACACTCATTTGTGTAGTAAAACGTGTATTACGCATATTAAATACATACTTACATAAAACTTTTAAAAGATGATGATGTCGGCATACTTTTTTCAGATTAACATATTTGCATGCATTTGTAAGTATTCAACTTAAATTTTTAGGAAGACTATCATCTAGCCAGTTTGGTGATGGTACTGCTTCTGTCTTCCGACAATGCTACAAATTAGTTTTCCCTTCTTGGCCACAGACAGAAACTGAATTTGATTTTCTGTGCTGTGTGGTGTTAGGTTTTGTCTCCCATAAAAGTCATGTTTGGGTTTCTTTTGACTATTCTTTTTTCTTTTTTTGACTATTCTTTCAAGCATCCCAATACCTTTATACTCATCTTTACCCGAAAAATTCCCGTGGAGCCACACAACACAGAGATGTTTCTGAACACATCAATGGGAGTGGTGCTATGGAACACACTCTCAGAAACAAGTGTGTCAGTTTGTTTCTTGTGAACTCATGGTAGTGCTGCTTAGTGACATGAGAGTAACAATGGTTGGATTGTTAACTGGTCTAACAATGAGAGCCAGGGAGCATGAATATGTTCCTACTTCTTGGAGTGTAGACCTAAAAGATGCTTGTAGATGACATAAAAACCAGAATGAATACTTTCTTGATAAGTCAGTGATTATCAATTATGGAATGCTCCTGAGAAATGCATATGCCCAAACTTTATCAGGGGGCTTGAGAAATTGACTTTTTGTGAATTTTCTAGATTTTCATCAGTAGATACTTCAAAGTAACATACTGTTCCACTGACTGTGACATCTTAATGGAAATAATCTCAATCAACAGAACTCTACTTCCAAAACAGAAATAAAACAACCTTTTCCTTGCTCCTTTCGTAGAATTTCAGAAAGCAAATAACAATATTGAGGCTGACATCAGGGACTGCCCAGAGGATGCAGGGACCTTACTTGTTGCTAGGATCCCGACAGAAGCCCAGAAGCAATACCATTTATAGTGACCTTTTATCTGAAATTTTGCAAGCCATTTTTCCTAACAGCATCATCAACAGTATTTAGCACTTTGGCAAATATGAGTTATTACCCAAGTAAGTCACTGATTCAAATGTAAAGCAAAAACGACTTTGGAAATTTACAAAATCTACAGAGATCATTGATGTAGCTAAAGCCTCTCCCTAGTTTTAGAAGACCATTAACACAAATTTCATGGAACTATCCCTTGTTTTTCATATGACGTTCAAGCCAAGCACAATTAGACAAGCCCATTCTTACCACAGAGATGGAGTTGGAAAGCAATGTGCCATCCTGGCCCAGCATGTTGGACACGGTGATCTCTGGCAGGTCCATGTTTTGTGGATGGAACGGGAGCAGGCCATTGTGGTTCATGGGGTGACACAGAGAGTGGTACCCAGACTCCACCTCATTCAGGTGCACCAGAGAGTGGTCAGGGAGGGAAGGAGGTGTGATGGGTGGAATGTTAAAGTCTTCACTTTCCAGACTTGGGCCAGGGTAGGACTGAAAAGACAGGAGTGACACAGACGGTAATTAGCTTCCACTTGTTCACTATTGTCAAGCACAGGAGCACAGTGGCCTTATGGATGGACCTACCGGAAGCATTGTAGATTTCACTGAGATATTCAAACATTGGAATCACCCTGGTGATTTGTCTCTCTTATGTATGGAAAAAGATGGCAGTGAGACACTCTCTGCCTATGAGACATCCTCTACCAGTGAGACATCCCCTGCCTGTGATACGTCCCCTGCCTATGAGACATCTCCTGCCTGTGATACGTCCCCTGCCTATGAGACATCCCCTGCCTATGAGACATCCCCTGCCTGTGATACGTCCCCTGCCTATGAGACATCTCCTGCCTATAAGACATCCTCCTTTGGTCTAAAACCTACATCTGTTATGTGGCTTTATTTTCCTAGAAAGTTGAACTCAAAACAGATTTCAATGATCCCATTAAAATTGTCTAGAGTATTAATCTAGCTGAATACCCCTTTTCATGAGAGTTGTGGGGAAAGAAAGCAATTTATAAAATTATTTGATCAAACATTTTTCATCAGACTCCCTACTGCTAAGATTATGGGATGTAGTAAAAATGAATTCCAGAAGTCTGGGGCAGTTGCTTTTCAGTTTGAAAAACCAAACTGCAAATAATTTAAAAAGTTATTAGTTAAGAAGTTAAGCCTGTGCCTAAGGGTGTGTTCACTGAAAGTTTGGTACAGTTTTAAAATGCCATTAGATGCTAATTTTACCGTCAAAATGAAAGTGAAGATTGCTCTCATAACTTTTGTGCACATTTATTTGATTTTTCTCTAAAGGTTAATAACACTGTAACCATTTATGTCCAGTCCCTTCCATGGTGAACAAAAACAATATTAATATTATATAATAATAACTGTGAAATAAAAGTTAATCAGTAAGATAAACAACATACCAAAGTCTGTTCTTTTATAAAGTGGCTTGAAAATAGGAAGAGGCACAAGAGGAAAAGGAAGAGTATATGAATACAAGCCTGTTCAAGATGAGAATGTGGAAAAAGTTGAAAATGGTCGAAAGAGCTGAATAAACACTGTTAGCAATTAACATCAATATACATGGTCAGAAAGAACTTATTTCATTCAACAGGTGTCATAATATGAAAAGAAGCATTTTGGCCCAGATAACACAAGTCAATCCTTCAAATTCTAGTGGCCTTCAGTGTTTGTGTGCATGGTAACAAAGATTCTCTTGTCTAACTGTATAGTGCCTGCTACAGTGTGCAAGATTTGAAGCGAGCAGGCAAAGTGTAGGAGCCAAAGAAAGTAGTGTTCTGTGTTCATTGGGTGTTCAGCCAATAAGCTTTATGCCTCCCTGTCCAAATGCCTGGGGTTATTTTTTCCAGATGGCGTCTATTTGTCTAGCAGAAAGAAATCTTCAACTTGCACTTGCTAAATGTTGAACAAGTTCTGATGTATTTGTTTAGGTGCCATCAGAAGGTACAGTTAAATGGAGAGCTACTTGGAACATCTGGAGGTCGTCATGGAGAAGAATGTGTAGGTATCATCTAAATTCTATGAAGGGTAGATTTGCATTACCTTCACAGATAATTTTTCTTAAATATACATCACTCTGCTAAAAAAAAGCCACAAGCTCTAAAGTTTTGTGACTCTTTACTAAAGTGTTTTATTAGTAGTGCTATTTTTTATGTATGAAAAACATGTTAGTGCCTTGTGTCAAAATTATAAGTTTGACTACCCTGAATATACAGACCCCAGCTCGCTGTTTCTCATAGGAGTATTCAATACAAGATACAAAAAGGCCCAATGAAGAAGGAGAAAGAATGTGTGTTTAGCCATGACTATTTCATATAAAGTGCAGTTAAGGCCCTTTCACCATCTTGTCTTTATATGAGTCTTATAACTGCTTTCTCTGTGTGATTATTATTCCTCCTTTTCCTGATAAGGAAACTGGAGTCCAGAAGTTCCTTAGTAATTGACTTAGTCCATGTGTGTGGGATGAGAAGGAGAGAAGCCATTTTTATTCCTTCCTTCCCTCCTCTCTCTGTATTTGTTGTGATCCAACCCAGGGCTTTGCAGAATGGGAAACTAGTATACTTGAGCTCCACGGCTAATCGTTACCATTATATTAGGCTGAGTGTTACAAAATATCTTTGTTATACAAAATTTCAGTTTAGGAATTATGACCATCGACAGCATGCTTTTCCTTGTCCTAAATCCTACTCCCCAAGATTAAATATTTACTTGACATAAGCACAAATATTCACAATATGTCTCTCCATCGGCACTGTAGACTGTGAGATTTTGGTACACAGTGTTTAAGACGTTAATCGGTGCCTGTTTGAAACTTTCCTCAATAAGGCATAACTAATACAGAGGTAAAGGAGAAACCTGGTTTTAATCTCAGAAGTGCCATTAACCCTCTGAAAATAGTTGGGGATATTTCACTGAGGGTGGACCATGCCTTTACATTCTAGAGTTTCTTTGGTAGTTAAATCTTAATTTGTGGAGTTTTAAAGGAAGGTTTAATTGGTATCGACTTACACTTGGTGATAACAATTGCACTGCAATTTAGCTTAGCTACATGGTTTATTTTCATGTAATTACACATTAAGGTTATTTAATCTGTACAATTATATGCCAAAACCACAGACTCTACAACTTAACTGGTAATGCATAGTTATGTGGGTCAAGAATTTTAACAACATAAGGTTACTTAGCAGCTCTGTCCCTTACATTAGAAGCCATAATGCGGTTATTTTCCATGAGCCTATTAGAGAGTAATTGATGCCCTATAAAAGTATGATTGTAATTGTTTAAGTGTCAAAATATGCCAGAACTTTTAAAAAGTGCAATGACAGACTAATTTTTTAAATGTGGAAATGAATTAATCTCCAACACTGGCTTCTGTGACATGGCAGGTAGACTCTGATGCCAGACCTTACTTGTGATGTGCTTAATACATGAGGTTTACATTATATCCAGTTTGCAGTATTGGGGGATATAGCACAACAGGGAGTAATTCAATACTTATTCTTACTCTACATGAAGGTACTTGTTAGAATCATCATTAAACATTTGTTGAATGAATAAAAGGAAGGATCACTAAACACATTAATGAATGAATGAATACTAAACAGGTTATTTAAAAGCATGAAGCTTGTGAGTATATTGCAATTATTTCACAGTCTTAAATAATTATCTTATATTCCCAGACTGCCCTGGCAAGTTCATAGCACAGAGAGCAACAGATATCATCACACTGTGCCCAACAGCCAGTGTCCTATGAGAGGAGTAGCAAGTGCAACAGACCAAAGAAGGCTGGACAGAGGGATCCGTCTGCATTATCCTGTGAATTCATTGTCTTGTATCTGAGTGTCCTGTGATCTGGCCTGGCTTCATTACCATTCTAGAGTTACACAAATGATCTATAACACAGAGTTTATGATCTTTGGCTCTCACAGCTGTTGGAACCTAATTCCTGGGGTGAGATCTAGGGAGTCGGAGGTCATGGCAAGTCTGATGCCCATTCTCAGAGATGGTCTGCTGAAAGCAGTAAGGACTCTGATCATAGCAACAGAACATTCCAGAAGGACCATTCTGAGAAGACCAAGGTAAGACCATCTTGCTGACACAGGACCAGATGTAATACTTGCTCACTCATATGGTCCTTTTTGTTTTCCACAAGTATTTTTTTTCTCCCAGGGTGGCCTGAATTTTAAGCAAGCAACCATTCTCAAACCCTACCAGAAACAATGATCATAGTAATACTTTCTACAGTTTGCAAATTCCTATAAGGCAACAGTATCATTTTTTTAGCTTGAAATAGAGGCTACCTCAGAGTTTATTCCATGCTCTAGAAGGTTCTCTTAGACTGGAACCTGGTACAGAATGAAGATCAAGTTAGGCATGGAGTTTCAAAGTGGTACTGACTTCTTAATCACCATCTATGGTCTCATTATCAAAGACTAGAATCTAAACCATTTGACTCCCTTGTGCCCAGCAAATGTAGAAGTCACTGGTGACCATCTCTATGAATAGAAGAAAGTATTTAGGAACAGTAGGTAAAGTGCATTCCTATGCTTTTCATTTTACTGATGAAATTTAACTTACTACAAGGTAAGTTGGAAACAGGCATACAAGTCAGCTAATCTAAGCCACAATTAATGTAAACACATCTATGATGATCCAGATGCAAACTCCCCTGATTGCAGGCTCTTCAATGCGTACAGACACAAGGAGCTCTCATGGCAAGGCAGGTGCTGAGCCTCACTGTGTCCTGCAGAACCCAAGCACCAGTGATTGAGGAGTGGGACAAGCGGTACTGGAACAAGGTTCAGTCAATTCTGAAAACCAGATGAACTACTCAGGCTGCAAGGGGATTGTTTGAAACATTAAAGTAGCAATTTAAAGATGTTATCCTCAGGAGAGTAAGTCTGTAGATGTAAGTAAGAGAATCCATGGCTGTTTCAAATCATTTTCTTAAAACTTGAAAAGGTCGTATTTGTACATTTTGCTTAGAAAGTGCCACCTAGTACTCTGATGAGAGTGGACGTGTGGCATACGGTAATGATTCTTTCAGTGACTAACAAGAGTGGTCACAGCATGTTGGAAACACTGGCAGCTATGGAGTCTAACAGATAGGGTCTTCAGAGCACTTAGGAGTTTGGTTTCTGAAGCCAGTTTTCTATTTCTCTTGAGCCTTTTTTAACACTCAATTCATAGAACTTTTAAGAGCATTTAAAGTATACATTGAAAAGGCAAATAATCTAGGTTCTCTGGAATAAAATGTTACTGAAAAGGGGGCTGTTGTTAAGTGGATTTATGAATGTCTTAGACTGGGTCATGTCTAATAACAAATAGGTCTAGACAGTCTGTTGGAGGATGTATTGTATAGGCATTTCCAGCTATTTGCCATTGGTACAGCCTGATAATGGAGAAAAGTAAACTTCATTTATACATAATGTAGTTAAACAAATATTTAAACAAACAAAACCAAATTTCACACT